AAAAAAAAAAAAAAAACCATCACCCCAAAAAAAAAAAAAAAAAAATGCAATCTTTCCAAAAAAAAAAAAAAAAACTCAGGCAACGCAAAAAAAAAAAAAAAAATCACTATAGATTAAAAAAAAAAAAAAAAAATTTTATGTAAAAAAAAAAAAAAAAAAAATGTTCTTTTGTGAAAAAAAAAAAAAAAAAATAATTATTTTGAAAAAAAAAAAAAAAAATGTATCCATCATAAAAAAAAAAAAAAAAATAGTTTTCCATTAAAAAAAAAAAAAAAAACTCTCCTCCTGAAAAAAAAAAAAAAAAAACAAATCAGGTTTAAAAAAAAAAAAAAAAATGTAACTGCTCCAAAAAAAAAAAAAAAAAGTTAATTCTAACAAAAAAAAAAAAAAAAAATCCGCAGCATTAAAAAAAAAAAAAAAAAGCCTCGTCTTTGAAAAAAAAAAAAAAAAATTCCAGAATGCCAAAAAAAAAAAAAAAAATTTCCCCGTCTCAAAAAAAAAAAAAAAAAAACTCCTTGGCTAAAAAAAAAAAAAAAAAAAAGGCCTCTAAAAAAAAAAAAAAAAAAACTCAATCCAATCAAAAAAAAAAAAAAAAACCATTGGTGATCAAAAAAAAAAAAAAAAAGCAGGGTCTCATAAAAAAAAAAAAAAAAAAGTGTAGTGGCGAAAAAAAAAAAAAAAAAAGCCTCTACCTCAAAAAAAAAAAAAAAAATCCCGCTTCAGCAAAAAAAAAAAAAAAAACATAGGCACGTGAAAAAAAAAAAAAAAAATTTTTTTGTAGAAAAAAAAAAAAAAAAAACTGCCCAGACTGAAAAAAAAAAAAAAAAATGCTTTTAAAGTAAAAAAAAAAAAAAAAAAGGCAGAGTTTCAAAAAAAAAAAAAAAAAACCCCCACTGTCAAAAAAAAAAAAAAAAACCAGCATCCGGCAAAAAAAAAAAAAAAAACGATTTCTTGCCAAAAAAAAAAAAAAAAAAGGGGCCCCGTTAAAAAAAAAAAAAAAAACACAGCGCCTCTAAAAAAAAAAAAAAAAACTGTCCTGCCCTAAAAAAAAAAAAAAAAACATCATCCGTGCAAAAAAAAAAAAAAAAAAGGTCCACCCCAAAAAAAAAAAAAAAAAATGGCACCTCGCCAAAAAAAAAAAAAAAAACCTCCTTGTTCTAAAAAAAAAAAAAAAAATGTAGATCGAGCAAAAAAAAAAAAAAAAAGCACGCCAGGTGAAAAAAAAAAAAAAAAACCGGTGTCAGTGAAAAAAAAAAAAAAAAAGCTGCATGGGGTAAAAAAAAAAAAAAAAAGGCATGCGGCGGAAAAAAAAAAAAAAAAAGGCTTGGCGGGGAAAAAAAAAAAAAAAAATGAGACCATTAGAAAAAAAAAAAAAAAAAACTGCCTGTCGCAAAAAAAAAAAAAAAAAGGGGAAGGGACGAAAAAAAAAAAAAAAAAGACACCGGGGGCAAAAAAAAAAAAAAAAACGTTAGGACAGTAAAAAAAAAAAAAAAAATGTCGTGGCGGGAAAAAAAAAAAAAAAAAGACGGAATCCCTAAAAAAAAAAAAAAAAACTGGG